TTCAGTCATCGGAGCCGAAGAGTTGGAGCTGACGAGAGAAGAAAGAGACAAACTCCTCCAGGATCAGATGCTGGCAGTGGCTCTGAGGAGTTCCGGCATTGTTACGTCAGTCCTCTCTTTCTCTAAAAGCATAGAGATTGCAAAGGGTTTCCCGTACCGATGGTTGTATCCTGCGTTGGTGAATTTTATTTCCGCTCCAGTCGGCCAATTTTCACGCCCATCTATGGGACGCGCGGCCGTTGTCGAACCGAGCCCTCGACCGATCTGACATGGTCGTTTTGATTATTCTACGTCATGATCCATTCACACAACTTGATCGAAGCGAACTTCGACACAGGGCAAGTATTAATACAGCTTCCCGTTTTGAATTCTCTGTAAGTTATCCGAATCGATATACACTTGATTAACACCGCAGAGCATAAAGACCGAAACCGTTTCCATGGTTACAGAATATTCTACTAACAGTGTGAACAATAGTCTGAATATAAGTAATATAACCATTTATTTTTCCTCCAGCGGAAGTAGAGACTTCTAGAGATAGTGGCCATCGTTCGATGACGTTCCTTCGGAGGGTTGACGAGATTGCGTTTCGATTAAGAGACGAGCCTCGCTAAACGGAGTGGCTCTTGGAACGTGTCTCACTGGTGAGGGTGTGAGGCAATGCTATCACCATCATTGCGGCTGGAAGAGGATATAAAAAAAATCAAATATAAATAAAATGTTTATTTTAAAAGACCAACCGAAAAATATTTAATCATCCTATCTAAAAACTCTTTGATAATGATCAGTTTTTATTCATTTTTACTGCCAAATTTCTTAAATAAACGAACTAAAACATTTAGAATGTTTTAAATTATATGCTCTTCGTTTGCTAAAAAGTTCAAATTGACTTCTCTTGCTTGATAAATTTCTTAGGAATAAATTTCACGAAATCGATCTCAGAGACGCAGATTGTCTTTCTTGGAATTTATTTCCCCGACAAAATACATCCAGATTTTATTTCTTCCCCTTAAGCTGTTACTTCAGGGTATTTGGAGTCTTAGAGCACTTTGTAAAGCAAATTCCTCATTTCATTTTTTTTTCTTTATCTCTGAACGAGTTTTCGCACGCATGCGCATAAAACAATCATGCGCATTTGAATCGCAGCAGAACGAATCTGTTTTTATCTCTGTAAAAATGAGCCCGAGTTAAAGAAAACATTGTTCAAGATTACCTCAAGGGTCTGCACATTCGATGTTTTTTTCGTGGTCATGGAAAGGAAGTTGTATAAGAGATAGATAGATAGATAGATAGATAGATAGATAGATCTAAACACAAACAAAGATATATGAGTTATATAGAGAGATATGAGTAAAGCCCATATTTGATATATACACAAAGGAAATATATATATATATATATATATATATATATATATATATAAGTTTTTAGCTTTATATATATATATATATATATATACATATATATATATATGTGTGTGTGTGTGTGTGTGTGTGAACTCCTTAGGTAAATAATCTAAAGTTCTTTTATTTTTTTGTTATTTTGTTTAAAAAAATAGTGCTCGATACAAAAGTAGAGCATAAATATAATTATTTATTTAAAAATATGATTCCAACACGCTACATAAGAGTTCTCATGTTTAAAAAACAAGAACTGAAAACTTCAATATAATTAATTGAATTAAAGCTCTGTTCCATCTTCAAGCGAAATTCTAAAATTTCGCTTGAAGATGGAAAAATCTTCGTAATTAAGAAAAACTACTGAAATGAAAAACAAACATCCTTGCAATAGAATTAAGAGACAAGGATTAGAAGATAAAAATTTAAAGTCGTGCAGAACCAGATAAAAACTCGCTGAAGAGTGTTAGTTAATGTTTCAGTTCCCTCTGACATGTTAATAACAACCACCTCCAAGATATTAAGATGTCACATTGTCTTAGCCCTGTACCGTATAGAGATGACATTCACTGAATAATTGGGCCCACAAGTGATATAACTCAATAAATGCTGAAGTCTCGCTTCAGAATTTTAGAAAAATCCTAATAGATTTAAGTACTCATCACACAGAAAGTAATTTAGTTTTTTGTACAAAACCGGCTCAGATTATGTGAACTTTTGTATTCATATATATTAAACAAACAGGGACGTCGAACGAGACGAGGGGTATTCTTTGAATTAGCAGTGGCTAGAATATCTAAAAATGAAATGTTAGCGACTCAACTTCAGCATATGTTCAACAACACTTTTCTTCCTCAAAACGAATATTATATTTTTGTTATTATTTGTAAAAAATAGTGCTCGATACCAGAGTAGAGCATAAATATAATTATTTATTTAAAAATATGATTCCATCACCCGACATAAGAGGTCTCATATTTCAAAACAAGAGCTGAAAACTTCAATATAATTATTTGAATTAATGTACTAATGCCAATAAGCATGATTTTAAAAAAAAATCTAAATTTTAAATTTTTCGGAGCCGAGCTTGTTATTATAATTATGACCATTTCTTGGTCACTTATCAGTTTTTCTGTAAAACTTGACCAGGGTGTTTGTTCGATCTTTTGTCACACAAATGAAATCGAATTTCTCACGTTTAATTACTCACATTTTTCGCTTCTTTATTCGAGTATACGACATTACAAATTACGACTTAACGACGACTTTTACAAACTTCTTTGCATGCTGCAACAGTAGGGATTAGCTTTCCTCTTGGTCCGTTCAGAAGGTCTACAACTAGAATTCTTACACTCTAGATCTGTGACATAAACACAATAGACTTGTTACATGCATCTACACACAGCTATGATCAAATTGTTCGTTTACCACGCACTTCATTTTATTGCACTGTAAAAAGTACACACAAAAACCTTTGTGTGAATTTGTTTCACAAATTATTTTTCTAATCCATTTCATTCAATTCGAAAGAAAAATATTACTCCAATAAATAAAAAATATTAAAATTTGTAGATCCGTGTTTGAAGATTAATTTAATTCTTCGTTCAAACCCGAATATTCCGCTATATATATATATATATATATATATATATATATATATATATATATATATATATATATATATATCTGTGTGTTTGTCTTTATGTGTGTCTGAGTGTGTATGTATGTTTTGTATGTATGTATCTGAATGAAGACAAAACGAAAACTTATCTTAGACGACGCCTTTCGTCCTCTGATGCAATTTAACAAGGCAAGTGTAAGGATTTTAATTTCGGACAAGTCTTTATAAACTAAAGTATAGAATTGCATTAATTTTTCAACTTTATAAATATAAGAACGCACAAAATATTCTTAAAGTTAACTGTGAAAGTCAAGGTAAATTATAGAATAAGTGATGTAATTTAATGTCTAATAAACAAAAATCAGTAAATATTCTTGTGGGATTTGTTCTTATACGGTAAGATAAATTTTCTTTTTATCTTTTTCACATTGTACTTTTACAGCAATGAAAACAAGAAATTCGCTATTTGATGGAAATCACTCCTGTATAGAAAATAGAGTTGTAAGTGTTTTATCAGATGCCGATTGAGTATTTCATAGACAACTGCTTATGCAATGGTTGTTCTCCGAATCTAAATGGGGGGGGGGAACAGGCACATTAAGGCAGACATGATCCGTGGATGGTGCGAATTTATTCTCGGATATCTGAACATAAATGAGAGTGTTTGAGAATTTGAATTTTCTTTAATTATACACGTGTATCGTAATCCGTGCTCAAACCAGAAACCTGTTCATATATAATCGACAATGATGTTGAGAAGCGAGCGCTAAAGAGGATGATAAATTTAGAATCAATCAACATACCAATTCTGAATTTCCCTAACGCTCTTCACAGAGAGAGAGAGAGAGAGAGAGAGAGAGAGAGAGAGAGAGAGAGAGAGAGAGAGAGACTTATTTATGTCCATATCTAACTAATATAGCCTGGTCTTTTTAAATAGATAGGAAACTATATTTGACATACACACAAGTGAAATATATATGCATAGAGAGCGAAATAAATAAATAGAGAGATGTAAGTAGTGGCAATATTTGACATATACAGACTGGAAATATATATATATATATATATATATATATATATATAGTTAAGTTATGAAGAACTTGGTAATCTGTATGGGTAATCCCAAGGAGGATGAAATCCTGAGAGCTCAATGTAAATCCAGAGCTAATATTTAAAAGAAAAACAGACCACTTTAAGGTTCCATTGACTTAACGTCTAAATAGGTCAAGGTCTGGTCACTCCTCCTCCCTCAATACTAAGTATGGTTGAGAGAGATATGAAATTAATCCCTCCCTAAACTCTACCATGTCTCTTTAACTACTCCTTTCACACTCTCTGTTAAATTACAAAAACTTAAACTACCCATCAATTTTAATTTCATTTTTCGTTTCATTTCTGGAAGTGCTATCTGATGATCCGGCATCCTTTAAAAGGGCTCTGGTGAAGCAAATTATTACAATGGTCCCTTTAAAAGAGTCTGTTTTACTTTAATATATATATATATATATATATATATATATAGTCTGTTTTAATATATATATATAGTAGTCTGTTTTACTTTTATATATATATATATATATATATATATATATATATATATATTGTTACGGTCCTCCCCTGTCCTCAAACCGCGTCAATAGCGGAGATAAAGGAGGATCTTAATGTGTGTTATTATTTATTTTGACAACTTTATTTCCCCAAGGGTCTCTTTCTGATAGATCAAATACGGTCGAGCAGGCTGGAATTGCTTAAGGAACACACACAGCCGGTGACAAATAACAGAAACACAAATGTAGAGTTAACAGTTAAATAAATTTATTATAATAAACAATAGACAACAAGAAAGATACGCCGAAAATAAAAACAATAATTCAATAAGAAATGTTGGGGGACATAAGAACGGGAGGGGGGGATCTAAACTCCCAGAAAAGTAATAAATAATTAATAAAAGATGTTACAAGCCGGCATGCAAAATTTACAACATGACAAAATGCATTGATCACATAAAAGAGAAACAGTAACGTTCTTATCTTACTTATTATAAAACGCAGATTGTGTGTGTGTGTGTGTGTGTGTGTGTGTCTGTACGTTTATATATTGGATCGGATTTCCAACATTTTTCAACCGATTTTAATAAAACTTCACAGGACTACGTAAAATTACCTTGCGGTGGTTCTAATAGCGTCAAATATTGAAAAAACACAATTGTTTTTGCACGAAATCAATTTGAAAACATGATTAAGAGGCATCACGAGAATGAAAGGGGGACAACTTATATCGAGTTATACTTATTATAAAACTCAGGTTGTGTGTGTGTGTGTGTGTGTGTGTGTGTGTGTGTGTGTGTGTGTGTGTGTGTGTGTGTTCGTTCGTTTATATATGGCATCGGATTTCCTACATTTTTCAACCGATTTCAACAAAACTTCACTTTTTTTGCCAGGTAGTGTTTCTTATTGTCTTGCACACTTTTTTCGTTATTTTTAAATACAGAATGCTTTAAAAATTCCATTTACAAGACAATTGTTTATAATAAAATTCTATTCAATCGGTAGATCCATAACGATTGAAAACAATGTTTTTTGTTTGAGTTTGGGTTTGACCAATTCGTAAAAAAAACAAAAAAAAAACAACAAAACAAAACAAAAAAAAACTAATTAAGACATGCGTGTCCGTCAACCTTAAACATTAATCTTTGTCAATTTTATTTTTCAGTCTTTATGATGGTCGACACTTGATTTATCTCTTACTGTTGCCTCCCCGGGCAACGCCGGTCTCTACTGCTAGTTGTTAATAAAGTTCGTCTTCTTTTCTCTTCTCAGTCTTATATTTCTCTCTTTCTTTTTCTTTTTGCACAAGTGTCACTTTTTAAGGTTTTTCCTCTTTTTCTCTTTTTCGTTTCTATTGATTTCTTTTTCTTCTTTCTTTCTTTCGTTTCTCGTCTAGGGGCTTGAGTTAAGAATCAGTTGTCGTTTCGTGGTTCTCAGTATAATGTATATCTTTCCTCACGTTTTGACACACTTCCCTCTTCTCGTGCCGAAGTTTACTTTCTTTTCTGGATAAACCTCGTTAAAGATGCTTTGAAATCCGAAATCACATTGGACTTCTCTTTCTTTCGCATGCACGAATTTATAGTGGGTTTTCGCAAGTATCGCAAACTCGTCTGCTTGGCTCGGATGCCGAAAAAGATTAACTCTTTTCTGCTGTTCATTTTTCATTATTTCTTCTTATTTTTCTGTCTTTATTTCATAACGTGGACATTTATCTCCAAGTAAGAACCTTTTTCCTGGGTGGGCGAAAAGTGGTTACTGACCCTTTCTTTCACCTTTCTCTGATCGCCATGTGGACTTCATCCCGTTAAATCAGTTACGACCGGTTTAAGCGAGAATTAAAAATTTACAAACTGTGACACAGCGGTCGCGTGAAAATTAAAAGCGAGAAATAATTAAGGCGAGAAGAAGCTGAAATAATTAAGGCGAGAAGAAGCTATCACGAAAAGACATACTGAGCGATGTTATTTTTTTTTTAACAAAGAAAAATAGTAAAGGTTTTATTTTCATTTGCGAAAAGAAAAAGATTTTTTTTTCTCTCACAGAAGATAGGAGATTCGTAAGATCTCGGATCTGTCGAATTAATTTATGTTACGGGACGGCCAATAAGAGATAGCCATCTGCCCATGGCAATAATGAAAGTTTCAAATTGGTCAAGTGGCCTACAAGACAGAATGCTAAGAGATAATGGTAATCAGGTCACGCACTGACCGAGAAAGACATCAGCTGAAGACCACCGCCAAATAAAAAAAGAAAGGAAGTGAAAAGAGAAAGGAAAAGAATAAACCATTAACTATCCTTCGGCGATATCATTTGGTTTTGGGAAAAACACCTGTTTTATGTCAGAGCTGGCCATGATAAGATTTTGATTCCTGGACAGATTTTGGCGACGGAAGCATGTAGGCATTAAGGAGACAAAGAGATTCACTTGACCAACCCCAATGATTATTTGACGAAAATCTCGATTGATAAAGTCCAGGTGACTTTCGGTTAAGATAGAGATTAAGGACCACACTACGAGTCGTAGAGGGTTGGCGTCGGAAAGGGAAAGGAACGAAAATAACTTTTTTCCCTTGAGCGATAATGGTAAACATATGAGAAGGAGGGGAGGCTTCTTGACGCCTCTGAGGGGATTGGTGTGAGATACCACTGTAAGAGAGAGGGAGGCCTGTTGACGCCTCTGAGGGGATTGATGTGAGATACCACTGTGAGAGAGAAAGGGAATCTGTTGACGCCCTCTGAGAGGATTGATGTGAGATACCAATATGAGAAAGGAAGAATTTGGGAGGACGATACCCTTAAGAACCCCTCTAAAGCAAAAAGTAGGGGACTTCCAAAAATGGAAAGGGATAAATTTTCCTGTCCGAAAACAAAGAAAATCCTTGTTGTGGATTTAGAATTGTCGAGGAACCCCAAACCACAAGCCCTTAACCGGTTTTGGTCGGCGTCTATATAAGCAGAGTCAAAGCGAGTAGATGGCAGTCAGTCGGAGAAAGTAGTTGGAGTAAGGGAGAAGTTAGTTGCAGTTGAAGAGACGCAGACAGAGTTGAGCTGTGAGCTCTGAGACCAACCTCGCAGGAAGCTGACTGAAGATCCACGTATCCCGACTTAAAATTCTAACCCAAAACAATTTATTTTTGAAGAACGACTTAGACTCACAACACCAAAACAAGTTTTACAAATATCGCCTGAAGATACAGAAAAAAACCAGTTTCTTAAAAAAACAATTTAAGATATTAAGACTCGCCTAACAAACACAAAGTGTCACGAATCCATATTAGCGGTTTGGGAGAAAGACTCAGTCCTGTATTCAGCAACCAGATATAAAAATATTTGTTATTATCTTTTTAACACATTTGAATTTTTCGAGTTGTTACTTTATTTTCTTTTACATATACTTGTGTGGTGTTACCTTTGATCGGACTCGGCTTACATTGCGGCCCGCCGACTGATTGATTTCGTCTGCCTAAGTTGAAATCACAACGTGGGTAGGTTAGACTAGAAATCAAAGCAGTTACTTCGGTAACCAGACGTTGGAGGCGAGCTGGGAACGACAAAGCTGATACTGAATTTAACCAGATTCCCATCTGAATCATCATAGGGTTAGAACGTCACATTTGGTGCCGCGACCAATATCAAGTTACATTGGTCGTCGCAGGACAGGACGGCGACGGGGCAGAGAAAGCCCGGGGTGACGTCACAAAACTTTCTTCATTCACACTCATGTCCGTTTGGTTAGGATCTGCCAACATTTAATTTTACTTCATCCATCATTTTCTTCTTTCTTTTTCTATTGTTACATTTTCTAAGAGTACTGACTTTTTTGTCTAAAATATAAGTATGGATACATATTTTAGGAGGGGCTTATATATATATATATATATATATATATATATATATATATATATATATATATATATATATATATACGTGCTAATACCTTTGGGAAAGGTATGAACCCTCTTCTTCTCCCTCCAGCTATGGCAGGGCAAACTGGGTTCTATAGCCTTGGATGGCAACTGGTCCAAGAGAAGGACAATTCAAAACCTGCGGAGTGCACCAGGTCTCTGTAATCGGCCCTTCAAAAAGTGTGGATGGTTTCATCACTATAATCAAATCTCATGTACTGCTGTCGGGCTGTCGGTTTCCTGGCAACTGATCTGCTTGACCCTCATATATATAGTGCTTTCTGCATTCTGTTGAGGTCTCTATCAGACTCGATGAATTAATTAAATTTATCAAATCCTCCGACTAATTAGTATTTGTGTTTATCATCGCTTGAACCGGCTTCTAATGCTACAGTAGGTAGCGGCTTGGTGAGAGTAGTCGTGGCTCCAGGGGGCACAGTCCTATGGTTACAGAGAATCTCAGTCGGAATATGTGAGCGAGCGGCGTTTTGTTGAATCTGGTTTGCAATCTCTTCGTCGCCGAGGCCCACTTGGAACAGTTGGTATGATGTTCGCTTAACAACCTAACTGTCAGGGTTTCAATTCTCGGTAGTGGATGCGCACTGCTGATGAGTCCCAAATATAGGGCGAAACGGCCGTCCAGTGCTTTCTGCATTCTGTTGAGGTTTCTATCAGACTCGATGAATTAATTAAATATATATATATAGATAGATAGATATGAACAGACTGAGATATAGATAGATAAAATGAAGAGAATTATATAAATAGATATGGAAAAATGCAGAGGGAAGTGATATATCTTTCAGATTGGAGTGCGCATAATATTCATGATTAATATAGACTGCTAAAACCATTCATGTAAACATCGCAATAACGCCAAAAGGAATTAGAAAGCAAAGATGTCGACAAGAAAGACAGGAAGTTAGAAATAAATAATTCTATAAAGAAAAAAGAAGAGAAGTAAAAGCAACAATAGCAGAAGCTTCAGAAGCAATGAATGATGGGAAAGGCAAGTCCATAAATTGTGCAGAAGCCATTACTGGATCCATTCTGACCACAATACATAATGCCTGAGTCAAATTCATCATGGCGGCATCAAATCATTTGCTTGTGACCGATAGCTTATCTAACGGCAGCCATGTTTGCTTGTCGGCAAATATTAAACGATGATTACAGACATTCAGATGAATGCGATTCTTAACCATTAGAATTTATTCTTTTATTCGGCCATTTTCGCTTTTTTGATTTGGCTATTTTCTTCTTCTTTTTTTTTCGACATTTTCAATCTTCTTTTTCATTTATATCATTTTATTCTAACATTTTGCATAATTTTATTTCGTAACCGTACATGTTCTTTTTTAATAATTTCACCCAAAGGAAGGTAATAAAGTAACTAAGACACAAGTGGTTGCAAATTGTTAAAGAATACGAAAAAGAAAAAACATTATTACGGAGGAAGAACAATATAAAGAATTAGGCAAGTCAATTTTTGGACAGTAGTAGAAGTTTATAGGTTATTTCCCGTTTAGGGTTAGATTTGCGGTTCATTCGAAAAAGGAGACACGGCACGTAAAAGAAAAACAATTATGAGAACGAGCTCGTGTAAATCGTAGGCACAACAGGGCTTAGGAGAGATACAAAAGACAGGAAATTGTGGAGACCCATGACCGCCTATGTCCAGAAGGTATACGACAGATAGAAAAAAGTAAGCTCGTGAAAATGGTTCGCAGAGCTCGTGTAAACGGTTTGTTAAGAGCTACAAAAGGAAATGGTGAAGAGACATGACCGCCCACGTCCTGATGGCTGATAGAATAATAATAATAATAATAATAATAATAATAAGAAGAAGAAGAAGAAGAAGAAGAAGGACAGGAATAGGTTGAATGGCAGAACAGGGATTAGGAGCGATAGAAAAACGCAAAATATACTAATAGCTACAAAGGAGTGGAAATTGTGGAGAGCCATGATCGCCCACGTCCTGTAAGGGTACGGCACATAGAATAAGAATAATAAAAAGCTTGTGTAAATCGTTGGCAGAACAATGATAATGAGAGATAGCGAAGAAACAAAATTTACTAAGAGTTAAATAGGACAGGAAATTGGAGAGGGCTACGATCACCCACGTCCCAGGGACATGGTGCATAGAAGAAGAGAAGATTCCAAATAGGTTAATTATTTTTTGCAAAGGTATTAGGTTGGTGCAAAAATAATGACATAAGAATGTCGTTTTTTGACGTTAAAAAATACGTCAAAAAACGACATTATTACGTCATTATTTTTGCACCAACCTAATAAAATATAGACGAAAATTTCATTTATCAGAATTATTATTACTGGAAGCAATAAGGAAATAATTTCTCATTGGTTTAAAATTTACTCTGCATAATTTATGTTTTATTCTTTTCTGTGAAATACACAATGAAATAGGAGATCAGACCCAGGGGTACCATCATTCTCTCTCTCTCTCTCTCTTCCTCCCTCTCTCTCTCTCTCTCTCTCTCTCTCTTTCTCTCTCTCTCTCAAACAAAAGACAAACAAAAAATGAACACATCTCCCTATTATTTTGAGCATGAGCAGTAGTCTATCCCTTATTTCCTGTTTGGAGTAGCGTTTCTTTCTCTTCCACTTCCGGTAGCAGCTTTTTTTCTTAGTGTCGTTATTGCATTGTTTGGGTTGAATTGATTAAAAAGAACATGAAACAGCAATAACCTTTAAAATATTAGGTTGGTGCAAAAATAATGACGTAATGATGTCGTTTTTTGACGTTAAAAAATACGTAAAAAAACGACATTATTACGTCATTATTTTTGCACCAATCTAATACGTTGAAGACACCTTGCGGCAGCGATCATTTTACGTAGAGCCCAAATATAAAATTGTCCCTAAATAAATTTGTCCTGGAACTAATAGAATGAAAATGTAGTTCCGAGGGCTGTTAGCCTCAAACAAAAGGAACCAGGGATACGTGTTGTCTTTTATTATATTTTCTGATTTACAACGAGAATTAGAAATGTCCACCGTAGGAGAGCAAGGAGCGGCCGAATAATATCTTTAATCATTAGAAGGTCTCTGTTGTCCGCTGCCGAGCAGCTAGCATAGCAAACAGTTATGCAATACGAATGGTAAAAATGATTTCATCGTAAATATATGTCTATTCTTTTTACTGTTTAAAATGTTCCTTACGGATCTCCTCTTTTTATCATCGTTTGTTTCAATGTTTCTGATAAGCAATTTAATTTTTCATGGAATAATAATTTATTATCCGAACACAAATTTTCTTTTGATTCCTGCAAGGAGATTCAGTATCAGTCACATCTTATTATCGAGGTTTTTTATACATTCACCATTTAATAGATATTTCCTCACATGAGATACGCTTATTTAGAGAAAGCAATCGACCATATCCAAGTTGAAAGATAAGAGGCTGGCTTTTGAGTACAGGAGATACAGAGACTGACACAAAACACAAACGTGCAGATAAATGCCATTGTCTATTATAAAGCTTCATTCCTTTTTTATTATTAGGATTTCATTCATCTTCGTTTGCTTAATCATTTCGCCTAAAATATCTGATCGCATAACTGCTGCTCAATTCAACCGTAACACACAGACCACATCCATTGCTTGTTACTGCCCAACTAACACGTAACAAAAAACCTAGTCAAAGACATTTACTCCGATCTGAATATAGTAACAGAAAATTTAGACATCAGAAATTTGTGATGAACTATTTTTTGTATTTACTGTTTTCAGATTACCATGCGTGATACACGCGTAAGCGATCAGATATCTTTCGATACAGGACTGACGAGGCAGATTTTTTTCCCGCAGTAGATTGCCATCTCTTTTTATGGGAGAACAGTTGCAATCGAAGGCTATATAACCCTGTCTATCTTGCCATTTAGCCATAGCTGGAGGGCAAGAAGAGGATTCACACCTTTCCCAAGGGTAATAGCACGTAAGTGAATGTCATGGATTCGACTGGAATTCGAACTCGGCTCTCCGATTCCTCAATACGAGCCGCAATCCATTACTCCACCGGAAAATTAGTAGAAAGACTATATTTCATCAATTTCTAAACCAGCTCTTAAGAAAGTTGGTTCACTAAGATAAAAGGTGTTACTAAGTGTGAGTGAATATGAGAGAAAAATAAGGACAGAGAAGAATAAAAGCAATAAATTACATTTAGATTTTCTAGGATCAAAGTTGAGTTTCAAGTAAAAAGATGGAAGAGATTTCCTGAAGACACTCTTAGCATAGAAATTACGCATACATATTGCAATTTCAACTGTAAAGTGATAAGACCTTACCGCCAATTTAGTATTTTGATTTATAAAGTCTATGCGAAGAAGGTAATATTTAGTTTCATTTAACTTAAAAATTAGGGACAATACCAATAGAATAGATAGAGGGACGATGCTATTCATTCGGTCTTATCTTAAACTTAGTTATCTACGGTTACTGACCAGCATATACCACACTATTCCTTACACTAAAACAACACATTCTTATATACCATTCTTACTACAGCCACCATAATACCTAAAAAAAGTCTATGAAGTCCTAACTAGTTCCCACATGTACAATTTATCTTTGGGCGGTGGGGAATAAAATAACAACTTTTAAAAAAGAAAACCTATAGAGGAAAGTTGATTAGATTTATAAATTTATAAAATCTATAGCGGAAGGTAATATTTATTTTGTTTCAATATAAAAATTAGAGACAAGGTCAATAGGAGAGATAGAGGAAGGATGCTATTCATTCGGTCTTTTCTTAAACTAGCCATGATTACTGACCCAAAGACACCATACTATTCCTTACACCAAAAGAACCCATTCTTACGTGCTATTCTTACTACAACCACCATAATTCCTCAAAAACTCTATGTAATCCTTATTCACATAGAGGAATATCCATCAGAAGAATTACCTCGAAAGTATTTATAGAAAAGTCAGAGGGAATCTACGTTACAACGGTGGGAAACTGACTGAAACCGAGATGGCAAGTCAATACCGATAACATTGCAGATTATTCTTCAGATTTTATCGAGCGTATTTAAATATATTGCAGAAGCCCCTTACTTGATGTGACAGCCATATTCGAAGTTAGGACTAATGATATACATATACATATGTAAAATAGATTCCAGAGAGAAAACTTGTCTAGCACGTCACACTGAACTAATTTTCCTAGCTGCAGACTTAGCAATTGATTTAATATAAGTTTTCCACTTAATGTCCGCGGAAAGAAACATTAATCCGAGAAAGAACTATATCATACCTGTAAGGTGAATTAATTATTATTCAGACACATAGGGCGGAAATAAAATACAGATGTATCGCCCCAAAAAGGTAAGTAATGAGAATATAGGGAAGAACATTACTTCGAATCCATGTAGTTTCTCTTCGGGCTATAGTAGAAAGGATGCTTTTTTTCGATCTAATATTTCCTAATTATGACACATCACGCTGACAATAGCATAAAATGATGCTAGATATTGGAAAGCTTTCGATATTGACAGCAGACTTATATAGCAGATGGGTAAATTAAAAATAATATCTGAATACAGGTGACATTTTGGAACCACGTGATAGGATAGGTGTTTGAACTTTCTCTGCTGATATCTATATTTTATAATTTCATTTCGCTTCTTTGATAATATTTTCAATTCTTTTCATTTTATCTAATTATTGCTTTCTCCTTCTTAATTCAGAATTAATAATTATTCTACAAATTAGATTTAAGATATTCAAACATCTTTCTATACGAGGGGTGTGACTGAATACTTCGTAAGTTGACCATGAAAGAATGGTGCCTGGACTTTTCAATTTTGTATGCACTAGGTCCAACACTTTTTATTAAAAACTGCATTGGTTATTTCCATGTAAACTGATATCTGACCATTCAAAGAATATTTCAAAGTAACTAGTAGTGCGATATCTTCAAAACTGGCATCATGGTGTTAGCAAGTACCTACAGCAATAGGAATTTATCCCCATTTCTGCTGATATGTTTGCTATATTAACGGATAATGCTCCATCTTTATAAACAGTGTGAAAGTGGGTAGTTTTAGTATGGGAAGGGAATGTCTTGGAAATGGTCCAAAGTCTTGATGAATTCTGTTTTCTGGAAATGACTCATAAGAGTTGCTTTACCCGAACACTACAATCTAACCTGTTCAAGTCTAGGGTTAACCATTATCTTCCCTACCTACCCGCTTAATCTGTTTCTGTTACTCTGTAGCCCTCTACCTGATTAGTGAAACTGACTCCCAAGAGGATGCTTCCCCAATCACTACAATCTTAACCCGTTGACGTCCAGGGTTAAACATTATCTTCCTTACCTACCAGAATGTTCCGTGTGACTTACATTGAAGCCCTCTACCTACTTTGTGGAACGAACTCCCAAGAGGATGCTTCCCCGATTACTACAATCTTAACCTGTTCAATCTAGGGTTAAACATTATCTTTCCCACATATAATCTGTTCTCCTTACCTTTTACTCTGTAACCCTCTTCTTTAAGTGGTTCTTGAGCCTTGTACAAAGTGAAAACCTTCTTCAAACAAATCGCTTCAATGTAGAACTGACTACCAAAGGAATGCTTCCTTGGTCACCACAATAACCTGTTCAAGTTAATCTTCTTCACATATAATCTGTTCACCTTACCTTTTACACTGTAACACCTCGAATGGTTCTTGAGGCTTGTACTGAGTGAAGACCTTCTTCGCAAGGAAAGCTACAGCGTGAAACTTAGTTACAAACGAATGCTTTCTCGATCACTATAATGTTAACCTATAAAAGTTAAACCTTATCTTCCACACATATCTCCCAAAACTATACCTCGTATCTTTTACTCTCTAACATTCTATCACGAGTGTCTCTTGGGCCTTGTACAGGGTGAACGTTGTTGCTAAAAAAAATACCCGTCAGAAATCCATTTAATAAAACAAAACTAAAAACATTTTTCTTGCTCTTTTCAGTTTTCGTCCAATTGTCGCTTTTATGTCTTTCCGCACAAACTGTTTTTTTTTTATTTGTCCGCTCCTAAACAGCCTGACATGCCTCATAATACGAAATCACAAAGAAATTATTTGGATTACCATTGCTTCCACCACCTTCGTTGATCTCCGCTTACAAAAGCCTCGCCGCTTTTACCTCATTTGTATTCAACTTAAAATCACTGTAATCTGCAACGAAGACCAAATTACGAACACATTCAGCGTTGCAGAAACTGATTGGGTTCGCCTGTCCACATCGAATGGACACAGAAACCAATACGAAACGCCTATAATATTAGCAATAATAGTAAGAATAATAGAATTAGTTGTAAAGTTTGTTGTGGTCGTAACAGGAACCTTAGTTGATTTAATGAGAAATATAATCAGAATAATGATACGATATTTGGCTAATAAAAATGCAGCAAGCTTTGCTAATTTATTTAATACTACAACTAATAGTACTAATAATCCGATGAGGAGAAGCATAAATATTGTACAAGAAATCCTAGTCGCTCTGAAGATAGAATTTAACGACCATCTTGGGAA